CTTTCTAGTATTTTCTATATTGCTTCCATAGGGTGTTTAGGTAGTCATGGGTAGTAGTCGAGGAAGTTCGGTCTGGATATGGGATCCAGGCTAGAGACTCGGCAAAAGTAGAGTAGTGGCAGTATTCCACTTGACCACGGTCAAGCACGAGAGTGTCTCGTGGACGGCGAGGAGCTGCGGTATGGGCACAGAAGGTTGCCGCATACCGTTAGGCCACCGGTCTGGATGCGTAAGGCCTTACATGGAAAGAGAGCATCGGCAAGGCCTCAGGGTGCCTTGATGAGAGTCTCAATCCGGATAGTTGTTGGGTATCGGTATGGCCTCGGGGTGCCTCGATGACCTTGCCAAAACACCAGTATGGGTAAAATATACCGTACCACGATAGGCAGCGTGATCGCATCATGACAGAGCAGCTTCGGGCTGCGCTAAATCGGGCATCATGTGGCGTCACGGTGAGTCCTCGTGCCGCAAGGAAATCGATATAGAGATCGATAACGCCATGGATGAGCCTTAGTGAGTAGTGCGATAGTGCTGATATGTCCCATATTTACCTATATTACTATCTATTTTACTATATTTTCTATGCATTTATCTATGGTTTTATGCCTTTAAAGGTAGTTTTTCTCATATTTGTAGTTTTAGAGTCTTTACAGGGAAATAAAGAAAAAAAGATCTAAAAGAGCCAAAATAGGTGTAAACCAAGCCACAACAACTTTCACAGGCCAAAGACACCATCAAGAACCAAGAATTCACAAGAAACAACATTCTACCAAATTGGACAGAACGTATACGCTAGAAGTTCAGCAGTGAACGGAGGACCAAATCGATTTGGAATTAGATGAAACTTGGTGTCCGATAGATATTTGAGTCAGCTTTACAATGAATTTTGAATCATCTCAATTGGAGCTGTGAGCAGGAAGATACACTGGAATTACTAAAGACACGTCAAGCTACCTCAGAAACGAAGCAAGTGCAGAATCGACCCAAATACCAGGCCACTTCATGGACCGATATTCCAGGCCGATGCCAGCACAAATTAAGGCACTTTGGACCCAATATCGGTCGTGTTCTTTGGCCGACATTGCCAACCGACTTTGGAGCAACTTTTGATGTAAAAGACCGTTTTGCTCTAAAGGGAACCCTAGAAGATCCTAGACCTATATATACTTGTTTTTAGCCTTTTGTTAGGATATGCCGAAATATTAAGAGTAGTTTTATCATAGGAGCAGCCACCACGAGTTTTCTTGGTGTTCTTCGTTAGATTTGGATTCTAGAGCAATCTGGTGGATGATCTCGCTTTGTACCTCGATA